TCCCCCAGTTCCCACCTCTTCCCAGGCCTCCACCACACTATTGCGTGTGTCCATGGGTTATGCATGTATGTTCTTTGGTTAATCTCTCCCCTCCCCCTCTTCCCTTCTGAGGTCTGTCAGTCTGTTCCATGCATCCATGCCTCTGGGGAAAAGTGTAATTTTTAAAACATGTTTCCAAAGGTTTAAAATGTAAAACAATGTCCCAATTACTGGACTTCTCTCCATCAAGGCAGAGAAATTTATCTAGTCAGACCCTTTTACATGTGCAGTAGCTGTTAAGTTTGAGCTTCCAGGCACATTTTTCTTTAAAGGCTTCCTTACCCTTTTTCAGACATTAACCCCTCCTTGCCCCCAGTGCTATTTCTTCTATCAGGTGACAGCTCAAGCAGTATTTACACTCACACATAGAGGTAATATGTGTTATCTTCTTTCGTTAAGTCCAACTCATTTTCTGTTGCCTTTGCTCTCTCCTCATCCCAGTGGGTCACATGAGTGATTAACCCCTCAATAAACTGAAAAACTGATGATCTGTGATTATGAGGAGGGTTCAGGTGAAATAAGTATTGCATGTAAATGCAGTTTTCTGAGTGCTCTGTAAATAGTACTACTTACTATTGAATTACTGTAATCTGTTATTGGTAGAGAGGCAGTGATTACTCAAAATTCCAAATTGATATTTGGGCATTACTTAGCCAAATCTTGGCAGAGGGTGTTTGGGCATTATTGAGATAATAGGAGCCTAGGGAAAGTACCCAAAATAAATGAAATTTGGGCAAACCCAGTGGTTCCCATTTTGTTACCATGAACAGTGAGGATGACATTGATGATGTACATAGAACTTGTGAATTTTAAAATGCATGCCCACATGTTCTTTTATTTGATCCCGATAATCCAGTGATACATATTATTATCCAGATAAATTTTATACTCTTCTTACAAATGAAGAAATTTAAACATGAAGTGCCTGAGTGATTTGAGATGCATAAAACAAATTAGCCCTGTCTTATCTAAATGTATTCCTTTCTTTTATATATATATATTTATTTATTTATTTATTTATTTATTTATTTATTTATTTATTGATTTCAGAGAGAGAAAGGGAGAGGGAGACAGAGAGAGAGAAACATCAATGATGAGAGAGTCAATGATGGGCTGCCTCCTGCATACCTCCTACTGGGAATCGAGTCTGCAAACCCGGATGTGCCCTGACCGGGAATCAAACCTTGGTTGATGCTCAACCCCTGAGCCATGACCAGCCAGGCTTGATTCCTGTTTAAAAGGAGATAATCTTGACCTTCCAGGGTTCTATTTGTAACATAGACTATAACTTGGACACACAATAAATGTTTGTTGATATTAATGTTGGTGTAACAGCATTTTAGCATTTATCTGAAACACATTCGTTTTTCTATATGTGCCCTTTGTGCTGCAGCCGAGCAGGCCCAGAAAGCAAGGAAGGAGGTTGCTGACCATCTGGCTGCTGGGAAGGATGAACGAGCTCGGATCCGAGTGGAGCACATTATACGAGAAGACTACCTGGTGGAGGCCATGGAGATCCTGGAGCTGTATTGTAACCTGCTCCTGGCTCGGTTTAGCTTGATCCAGACCACAAAGTGAGACCTACTGAACTTGCATTGTTGCTTAGGCTCCCTGCCACCTAGTGAGGGAGCTGGTGGGCTCTAACTTATTGGGACTGTGTCAGAGAACTTGGCCTCTGCTTGAAGGGTATGTGCCAATCCAAAGAGCCATTTTTAAAAACCAAATAGGTGTCGTCCCCCCCCCC